GCAGAGGGCACCAGGCGGCCGAGGGGGAAGGGGCGAGGGCCGTCTACGGGCTCCGGAGAGCTGCCCTCCTGGCGTGCACGGGCCATGGCGCTCCCTGGGGCCTGCGGGACACGGGAAGTCAGCTGGAAGCAGGGACCACGGCCCCGCGTGCACACACCCTACCCCATTCACGCTCGACCCAGGTGCAGGGAAAGTTGGTGTGTGTGCGACAGAAGAGTGAGGCCCACAAGAGCCACCCAACTGGGGGATGACACGGGGTTCTGCTGACCAGGAGACTCCCAGGCACACGGTGGCCGTGAGGACTGGGAGCCCCAGGACCCCCGGATGGAGGGGGCGTGTCTGAGGGTGGTGACAGTCCTGCCATGCAAACTACTCCTGGACTCAGGCAGGGCTAATGGGGACAACTTTCCCAACACAGTGACAGGCACAGGACAGCGTGGGCTCTCTCCAGATACAGGAGCTCACTCGGGACCCAGATGCTGGGGTTTATATAGCGGTGTGAAGGGTACACAACACGGACACCAGGACACACACTTGGACAACTCAGGGACGCTGCCACTCAGTACACCAGGAACACACACACACAGACACCACAAGCCTGTACACAATGCACACTGCTGGCGAAACCCATCCCGTCCATCACAGGCGCACTGATTCGGAAACCCACACACTGACCCACCACTGATAGGCCCAGGACACACAGAAGGCAGCTATCAGGAGGCGAGCAGAAACACACCGTAGGCTGCCCCACAGGTCCCCGGCGCCCGGCCCGTCTCCACAGACACCAAGGGACTCACATCAACACCACAGACACAGAAGATCAGCACTACCAAAACACAGCTGAATGTCACCAACTCAGCCCCGGGACACACGGAAATCAGGCACACATGTCAACAGACCCAGATGCATCACCACACATGCCTGCCACGACACACAGACACACCATCAGAGCAGCAGACATCAACCCTCCGCCCTCTCCTCCCAACCCCAAAACACTGTCACCAACTGTCAGCACCAGCGGGCGCGGGCACGCGCGCGGGCGCGCGCACACACACACACACACACACACACACCTAAAGCGCTGGCAGAAAACACTGGTCTCACGTGACTGACATAAACACTACACACACGGACCCACATGACCCACATGAGCCAGCCGATCACAGTGACAAGCCTCTCAGACCCAGGGCGCGCGCGTGCGCGCGCGCGAGCGCACACACACACACACCTAAAGCGCTGGCAGAAAACACTGGTCTCACGTGACTGACATAAACACTACACACACGGACCCACATGACCCACATGAGCCAGCCGATCACAGTGACAAGCCTCTCAGACCCAGGGCGCGCGCGTGCGCGCGCGCGAGCGCACACACACACACACCTAAAGCGCTGGCAGAAAACACTGGTCTCACGTGACTGACATAAACACTACACACACGGACCCACATGACCCACATGAGCCAGCCGATCACAGTGACAAGCCTCTCAGACCCAGGGCGCGCGCGTGCGCGCGCGCGAGCGCACACACACACACACCTAAAGCGCTGGCAGAAAACACTGGTCTCACGTGACTGACATAAACACTACACACACGGACCCACATGACCCACATGAGCCAGCCGATCACAGTGACAAGCCTCTCAGACCCAGGGCGCGCGCGTGCGCGCGCGCGAGCGCACACACACACACACCTAAAGCGCTGGCAGAAAACACTGGTCTCACGTGACTGACATAAACACTACACACACGGACCCACATGACCCACATGAGCCAGCCGATCACAGTGACAAGCCTCTCAGACCCAGGGCGCGCGCGTGCGCGCGCGCGAGCGCACACACACACACACCTAAAGCGCTGGCAGAAAACACTGGTCTCACGTGACTGACATAAACACTACACACACGGACCCACATGACCCACATGAGCCAGCCGATCACAGTGACAAGCCTCTCAGACCCAGGGCGCGCGCGTGCGCGCGCGCGAGCGCACACACACACACACCTAAAGCGCTGGCAGAAAACACTGGTCTCACGTGACTGACATAAACACTACACACACGGACCCACATGACCCACATGAGCCAGCCGATCACAGTGACAAGCCTCTCAGACCCAGGGCGCGCGCGTGCGCGCGCGCGAGCGCACACACACACACACACACACACGGCTCAGACAGGCTGCCAGCAACACCCACTAAATGCTCTGCACAGACCCCACGGAGCTCCCGTCTCCAATTCCCAGACAGCCAAGCCAGGCGCGGTCGAGACAAGCCCCCACCACACACCACACACAACTCAGACACCTGGACCGAAGACACAGCAGCCCGGGGCGGCCAGCCACAGTGACGCGCAAACACTGGCAAAGACACATGCCCCGGAGATAGACAGACAGCCACAGACGAGGCTGTCCACAGGGCAAGACACGGCACACACCGACACCACACACTCGAGCATCACACGCGGATAAACACGGGCAGCTTGCTCAAGGAACACAAACGCATTACAACTACACAGTGGCACACGCAGGCGAAAGACCTGCAGACTCAGCCTCCAACAGCACACACACAGACAACTCTCACAGAGAAGACACACACACACACACACAGGTGCACCCCACCCGCAGACAGAAGCCCACACAGACACGAGGGGACTCACGCATACACCCCGGCGGGTCACGAATCCCCACATTCCTCCGGATTGACACCACCGCTCCCTGCAGACCCCAGCACAAACTCGGAGCCAGACACACGCACACACCCAGGCGAGACACCTGCAGATCCACAACCCCGCACACGCGCGCTCCCACGGCG